TAAATAAACACTGGAAAGATGGTAGATGGTGAGAACACACTTACTTATCCCTGTTTTGACCCCTGCAAGCACTTAAGTTTGTATGGGAATATGTTTTCTAAGACAACACATAGGTGTAATTCTACAAAGTGAGAACTGGTGGGCAGGCACAGTATGGCAGACAGGAGAGCAGAGGATCTATTTCCATATATTACATGTGCATGTTCTTTCTCTCTTAATTGCCTTCTGTGTAAATTGCTCTCCTGTCCTTACTATACTATTTTACAGAAAGGATGATCTCAGAGACAGAATTGGTGTCAGGCACTGAAGCATCAAACCTTTCTGCCAGCCAACCAAGCAGCCACATGACCACCCCATGTCTTCCCTTGAACTCATTTATCTTTTGTCACTGCTTAGAACACTCTGTCTAATTTTAGAAGGCAGTTCTGCAGCCCTTGCAGTGAATAACACTTGTTCTGGCCAATAGTCCCAAAAGGCATAAGTAGGAGTGCCAGAATCCCAGAAACACAGAGCTGAGACAGAGCTCAAGAGGTCATGGGGTCCCTCTGATCAGACCTGTCTTTCTGGGCTGACACTCACCCAGATACAGATCTCCCATACTGGAGCTTTACTGCTTCCCCAGAAATCTATCCCACTATTATTTCCCTACCCCTACCTGATGATATTTTCCTTGAAATCAAATAATCTTCCCTGATTAAAATCACATCAATCATCTTTTACTATCTCTGTTTCAAAGAAAGCAGAGTATCACCCTTCATCTACCTCTTCATTAGACTGAAAAAAAGAGTCCAATTCTTTAACTTTCTTCATTTACCCTTTCATTATTTCTTCTTATTTGCTCTAGATGCTCCTCAGCTAGTTTTTATCTTCTTGGGCAGCACCACCAGAGTGGTCCTGCTGCTCCCCAGTGCTGTTGATGAGCAGAGGGGGGCTGTGTGTCCCAGAGCCCACCCTCTGTCCCTGCTCTGGGGCACTTCCCTTTTCACAACACCAGGCCACTGTTGACTCATGCTCAGCTTGTGACATCCCAGATTATTTTCTGCTCTATCTGCTATTAGCAAGCTGTCCTCTGTCCTGCCTTTCCACGCTGAATTGTTCTTGTCTAAATGTTTTCTCTTGCATCAGTCCCTATTTACCCTCGTCTTCTCCTGGACTGTATCTCTAACTTTCAGGATAATTCTGAATTTTATGATTGTAGTCTACCATATCAGCAGTGCATACAAATGATAAAGGAATGCTTCCCATTCTATCATCCAGGTAACTAATAAACATACTGGGACAAGGACAAACTAACAGTTGCACTCTGTATCTCTTCTATTAGGCAATACCGTCTAATAACTTCACAACTAGGGAATTATTCACCCAGATAAATACAAGTGAACTTGAGCCAGAGTTGAGAAATTAGGTCCTAAGCATACAGATGTATTAGTAACACCATGGTTTGCAGGTATTTGTCCCAGCAGGAGAGCAATAAGCAAGAATGTGCAGTTAAAGCCCATTTGGAAAGAATATTGGGCAGCTACAGTAATTTTCATGCCATCAATTTTCTTTCCATCAGCCACGACAGTTACATTCACCACAGGAAACCCACTGTAATCTGTCACAATACAGACCTTACACTTTTGGACTTAAAACATTTTGAAATACTTGTTCATAATTTTTCAAAATCTTACTCATGGATATAAATATAAAAATACATTTAATTTCCCTGGTTTCTTGTTTTAGCTCTTATTCAGGATGACTCTGACACAAATAAAACTGAATACATGAAAATATTTTACTGTTAGATACTTCAACGACCACAGGAATTAGGACCTGAAGTCTCACAGAAAATCTGGGGGCTGTTTTCTTGAACCACTATATCAGATTTCAGACTGAGTCCAGAGAAGCACAACATCTAATACTGTGTAACAATGGATACTTTGGGAAACAGGGTAAGGAATAAATTAATAGGTGGGTGCTTCTTCCTCTGGCACCCTCCCCAGATCTATCAGTGGCTTTGGTATTCTCTGAGCATTTCTTTTTGCATCTGGGTCATCTCATGTGCAAGCTTCTACCTGGCTAATTTCAGTCATTATTATTCAAACTACTTTCAGTATTTCTGAAACTGAAAAGGATAGCATAACTCCCCGGAATCTGACATTGCATGCAGTGCCAGGGCTCTATTGATTCTGAGCTCACAATGCCAATATGCCCCATCATAATTCAGCCTGAGACAGCTTTGAAGATTTGTCAGAAACTATCACATAAAAAACTAAAAGGACAGAAGAAATTATTGTAAAATTAAATTATTCATTTTTCCACAGGGACATGGAAAAAAGGACAGTCTTTCAAGGATTAGGATAAATCAGCTCCTACAATCAAATCTGCAAATGCTGCAAAATTGAAAGGCAATTCCAATTCCTGCTGAATCTATGTGAGGTCAAAATTTTAATGAAGTTCCACCAAAAATGCAAAAGCAGTAATTGCATGACTGACCTGAAAATCTGAGAAACAAAGTCTAAAAGGAAATAACATTATTATAACAAATGTTACATTTACAATTGCTGCAACACTCTGCTCATCGGAGAAAAAGATAACGCATTTTCCACACTGGGGCAGATTTTCTCAGCTCAGTTCCTGTGTGCTTAAAGATAAAAGATATGCTTGTCAAGCAGTATGTAGATATATGGAGAGCAGGGAGGGACAATGCCCGGCTTCTACCTCAAGAGTCCTTTTATCTCTCATAAATTTATATGTGTTGGTCTTTTTATTTTAACTTTACAGCCTCCACTGCACCACCACAAACATCCTGAGTGTGCAACACTTGGTTTTTTTTCCTTCCTGTAATTCATACCTCCTTCTATGAAGCTTTGCACATGCAGAATATCAGGCTTGTCAAATTGCAAGCAGCGAGACCACTCACAGATATGTCGGTAGAAATGGAAAGAAAAGAAAATGCCATCTCATTTGGAAGTGAATTTTAGTTGCCCATTCTGTTTGCAGGCATGCTCTTCAGTGTGATTGCTCCCATCCCAGTTGTCTCATCTTTCTCAGAGGAACAAAATTGTATAAATAGACTCTGACCCCTTTTATTGCATAGTGTGTTAAATGGGAAAGTTAAGGAAAATAACTGTAACCTAATAAAAATTCAGAGGCACCTCAAAACATTAATGAACACTTTATTATTACAGATATGAAAAGTGCAGCCCCATAACTACACATTACTTTTTGGGCTTGCAAAACAAAAATTACATTCTGTCAGGTAGTTTGACCATTTTTTCATACCACACATATTGTATTTTATGCTATTGGGAACGAATACAAACAATTTTGGTGATATTTTCTGATAGCTGCTGATTAAAGGAAGATGGAAAAATACATGGATACAGAACAAGGAATCAAGAAACATTTTTGCTGTGCTGCTTTGTTCATGACATAACCAGAGACTTTGATTTCAATGACTCAGTCTTCTCATCTGTAAAATGAGGATAACATCTGAATGTCTCTCAGTGGAATGGTGAAATTTGATTTCAGCATGTGTATAAAGGACATGGAGATTACTAAGTTGGAAGGTGTTATTACCATATATTATAAATATAAATCTAGGAAATTTGGCATTGAATGTGTAGGGATTTTTCCCCTCTAGCTGCCCTTTTGTTTTAAATACTACTAATAATAATTGACATTCCATTAACAATGAAACAACAAACAAAGGATTCTGTTCACATACACATATAGCCAACATTAAAAAAAAGAAACAAAGAACAGGGCAAGTCTGTGGTCTGAGCATTCAGAACATATAAACTAAAATGAAGCCCTACATGGAATATTTAAAAGGTTCCTTTTTTGTTCTCTTGAAATACTACCTGATCTTACTGCTACTTTTTCTGCATTAATCACAACTATGGGTTAACTTTTTGGCCCACTGGCAGGCAAACTTTCTGTTCATGATTGCAAAGGGAGTTCCTGCACAAGGCCCAAAGCCTGCCCTTTGGAATGGCCATGGATGCTGCTTTACATTCACTCTTCTCAGAGCGTCAACTCAGTGGCAAAATGATATTATTCCCAAATTTATTGATAACCAGCTAGAGCAGCATCTCTCCTTGAGCTCTGTAACGGGAGGCAATTAATCATGGTTAATAAAACATTAGTTTAGGTTGGAAGGGATCTTAAAGACCATCCAGTTCCAGGTCCCTTGCAGTGTTGGGATGACATTTGCAATTGCTGTGGGGACACAAATTGCCCCTGCCATGTGAGGTATCTGGGGAGCTGTCCCATGCCCACCCAGCCTGGAGCCGGCCAGCAGAGCCAGGCTCCCCTCAGCACCGCTCACTGGGGACCACGATGGCTCCCATGGGATGGTCAATTCTATCGGCCCCGTTGGCAGATGTTCACAGAACATTCAAAATATTCAACCCCTAAACCACTAAACCAAAGGCATATTTAAGAGGTTTCTGGATCTGGCACAGAGTGATGTGGTTTAGTGGTTGCAGTGCCAGCGTTGAGTGAGTGGGTGGCTGGACTTGATCTTGAAGGTCTCTTCCCTCCTCGACAATTCCATGATCCTAAACCACATCACTCAACGCCAGATCCAGACATCTCTTAAACACCTCCAGGGACGGTGACTCCACCGCCTCCTTGCGGAGCCTGTTCCAACACCTGCCCACCTGAACAGTGGGTTCCTTTTTCCTACTCTCAATCTCTGCTGGGGCCGGTTAAGGCCGTTTCCTCCGGTCCTCTCGCAGCAGACCCGGCAGACGAGACCGGCTCGCTCCTGCCGGGGGTGATGAGGTCCCCCTGAGCCCCCGGAGCCCCGGCTGCCCCACCGCTGCTCAGCAGACTCGTTCCCCGGCCCTTGCAGGAGGTTCCCCGGCCCCTGCAGGAGGTTCCCCGGCCTTGCAGGAGGCCCGAGCCCCCGGCCGGACCCGCTGCAGCAGCCCGGTCGCTGTGGCAGCCCTGCCCGGCGCCGGCCTCGGCCGCCCCGGATGGACGCGGGAGCGCTCCCGGTGCCCGCGGGGCGGGAGCGGGCGGAGCCTGCGCACTGCGCCCCGCGGCCCGCGGCCCGCCCGGCACTCCCGCGGCCCGGCGCTGAAGATGGCGGAGGGCGGTGCGGCGCCCCCGTCCTGCGCTTCCTCCTCCTCCTCCTCCTTGAAGGGGCTGCGGGAGCAGATGGGTGAGAGCGGGCAGGGAGGGGTAGCACGGGGGGTGTGTATGGGGGGGTCCAAGGGCGCGGCTGGCGCCGGCCGCCCCCCCACCCTGGCCGCCCCGCTGGACGTCCGGCCCCGTCCCGGGGCGGGGAAGGGGCACCGCCGGTGGAGGCCGCTGGGGCTGCGGCCCCGCTGCCCGCCCGCTCCGCGCTGCCCGCGGCTCCGGGCGGTGATCGCCGCTCGGGACCTCCCGCAGCCCGTGGGCAGCGGCGGAGGCGGTGCGGGGAGGCTGCGCTACACGAGCCGCCCGTTTTTCACCCGTTCTCCCAACTTGTCGGTGTCTGTGCTGGCTCCTGCTTTCAGCGGGTTTGCCCCAGCGATGTGTTCGGCCCCGAGTGCAGAAGGCAGAGACAGCCCCTGGCACTGATTTCGGATCAAAGATTGAATAATTCCCGATTTTATTTTTCACTTTTTTTTTTTTTTTTAAACTAGTGTTATAAAAGGGCTGAAGAAGCTCTGCTTTGGTTTTGTCTTTGGCTGTGCTTATGTGCATATTTATTCTTAATAATATACTCTACAATGAGTACTGTGCATGCACGATATGTGTTTGCAGCAACATTTAGTGGTACATATCTATGCAAAAGTTTTGTGGGTGAGCCATTAGAAAATATAAACATTTACTTATCCCAGTCACAAAAAAAAAAAAAAAAGTAGAGACTTGTGGTTTGATCTAAGTTAACTTACTAGGACTATGTGCAGCATCTACTCTTGAGAGCCTCCTGCATGATTGTTTTCAGTGTATCTGTTAATTACATAAAGAGGAGTGTTGGCAAAGGGTCCTGAATGCACAGCTCTCATCTAGCATTCTTCTTCAGTGTGTTGGGTGTTGGTAATACTATTTAATTACCTTTTGTTTCTGTTTCAAAATTAAGGCAGTTCAGTGCTCAAGAAGGATAAAGATCTGCCAAAAGATAGCAGTTCTCACCTGCACAGGCTAAGTCTGTCTGAACCTTATTCTTCCTGCTAGAACTGCTGAATTTTATTTTGCATATGGGATGCACTTACATGGTGGCTGCTAAATTTTTCTAAGGATGGGCACCCATATTTGGTTACAGCTGTCATGACCTAGATTTAGTCCCAAAATCAGAGAGGAAGTGTTCCTTGGGCCGAGCAGCTCCATCTCCCTTCAGATATGCACATGCTGTAATATGCACATCATGTTGAAAAAACAACCTCCCTCACTAGATCCTGGAAAGACTAGACCTTGAATTTTTTTCCCTGAGGGGGTAGAAGTCACTGGACCAGAATCTGAACTTTAGTGTACATAGAATGCATTTGTAGCAGTTATGTGCTCAAAGATAAAGTCAGTGCTAATGTGCAGTGAATCAATGCTGTCTGTGAGCTCACAGGCTGCTGCAGCTCTGCTCCCGACTTTTAGTCAGTAGCACTCTCTGGAGAGAGCAAATGATGTTTAGAAATCGTCCTTGCAATCCAGTGGTTGACGGTGGAATTTGCAGGATAATTTGCTGCTCTTTGGAGAAGTTGTGAGTAGCAGCCAAGTCTGATATCGCTGCTGTTTGGAGAAGATGTAGGGGAAAAAAAAAAGACACCCAAAGAAACCTCGATGTTCAGTCCCACGCTCCCCTTCGGGTGTTTGGGGAGGGATAGAACTTCCTGCTTGTCTGAGCTCACTTGGCTGCGTGGGGGGACTCCTCAGCTCCAAAATGCCTGCTAACAAGAATGCTTCCACCCAGTTTCTGCTGCTCTGTGGGCAGTTGTGTACTTTGCTGTCTTAATCAATCTGGAGAAACATCCATGCAAAATAAATACAGTGTTTGCCTTCGGCCGTTTGTCACTGAACTTGTGTCTGGGAATCTCACATTTAAAGACAAATAAAGAGAATCTTGCTGAGAAACCACAGCTCTTCTGGCAGCCTGGCTAAGAGCTGTGGTTGCATACTGTTTGTATAGTCACCCTCTGCATAGGTACCTTTGTGGGTCCTTATTACAGGATGCTTCTGAGTTCTTGTTCTGTTCACTTCTGCTCTCTGTGACCAGCCTCTTGATGCTGCTTTGTTCTGTGGGTGATTGGTGCTTGTTAATTTTTAGGCCTTGCACACACAGAATCCCATGGCGTCACTTGTAACCAACTTCAATTTTGTATGGCAATAAAAATATTCTCTTAAATTCAGTCTGCTGTTGAGGTAAGAAAAAGCTGTTTCTCCTTCTTTGGGTATCAACTGTAATTAAGATTCTGCAGTCCAACTCATGCCTGCAGTGCCAGTTCTACAGTTCCTTTGTAATAATTTTCTTCCCTGACACACTTGTCCAGTCTGGTTTCCTTTATGTGGGTGACAAAAAGCAGAATCTGCTACCACAGCTAGAATGCAGTTAAGATTTCTGAACATCATTTGACATTAGAAATTAATTGTAGTTGTACATTGAACCAGCAGTGCATAGATGGCAGTTGCTTACCCCATTTTTGTTATCCATGTTTGCTGCTGTCATCCCTCAGGGATGAAGAGGAATTTTTGATCCTGTTCTAATGCCATAAGTACTGCTGAGCTTGTTAAGATGTGAGAAGAGGGGAGTAGTCGAGTACTTGTGGTTTATCCAGTAAGTGAGGTTTTCCTTGAGTAGTGTGGGTAATCAGAGGAAAAATATCTTAATTTAAGCAGCTGTAGCCTACATTTATTGTCTTCATTTTCACTGGAATCCTGAAAACTCCTGTCTTTCATAGTATGGGTGGTAGAGAATGTTTGGATTTTTTTACTAGAGCTTGGTATTCCTTTTCTGTTGCCAGGATTTCCACTCACATATTGAATTGCTGTTGCAAAGGTTGTTCAAAACAGAATATTTAAATGCTATTCATGCATATTTTCCTTTCCAAGACCTGCATCATCTTTTGGGAAACCTGTCTCAGGTTTGGGGAACAAAATAAAGTGCCTTTTTAAAAAAATCTATCTGCAGGAAGAAATTCCATGACCCGCAGGTCCCAGTTTGATTGGAAGTTTTCTAATAAACAGCTTTATTCCATGTAATTAGTTTTTTCTCCCTGTGAAAGTGGCACTGTCTGGGTTTGTCCATTTTGCCCAGGCCACAGTTCTTAGCGACAGCTTTACCAAGTACTTGTACACAGAATTGGCATGAAAGGAAGGATGGATGGACAACTAATAGTGTAACTTCATTGCTCAAGCAAGTAGGGACAAGCACAGATTTATCTGGTCTATAGATAACAGTCATAAAGCAAAACTTAGGAATACAAACTTGTACCAACACCTGTAGGAGTACTAGAGAACTCTTGGGTACAGTCTTGGTCCCACAACAGAAGATGGTCAGAGCTGTCTAGAGGAAATTATTTGGGATCCAGAAGCATCTGTCAGTCAGACAATTGATGAGTTGACCTCTGTGTCAGAGCTGCTTGCGGGAAGAAGAAAGAATTTACTTATGAATTTGAATCCTTGAAAGCCTTTGGGATTTGCAGTGTGGTTGTCAGTAGAGGTGGGCTTCAGATCTTGCCTGGGAAGCAGCAAGACAAGGAAACCATTTCTTTGCCAGGTTTCTCACAATGTGGGGGTGCTGCATGAAGAGCATCTCGAGCATTCAGTTATTGTCCTACTTGGTGATGTTTGAATGAGTGACTGGTACAGGTCCCATCTGCAGAGCAAAGGCCGCCCATCACTGGAGCATTCAGCTGATGATCACTGGGTCTGGCTTCAATTTCTTGATTTGTCAAACTCCTCAGAACTCTGGAGAAAGTTCTAAGGGGTTTTGTGCTCCATCTTTATTGTGTGAAAGTAGTAAGACTGCTTTACAGAGTATCAAGGTGATAAATGCAAAGAACTGCACAGAAACTGGATTTCATATACATCTCAGTGGTGAGAGAACCTTCCCAAATCAGGCTGAGAACTTAATATGATTGTGATTGTTATGAGCCCTAGTTTAATTTTCTTCTTGTTCAGGGAAATACAATCATACACAGTAGGGATAATTTCGTGCTGATTCAGAAAGATGAATGCTGTGTATTAAGGTGCTTGGCATTCTGAAGATTACTTCCAGTTGTAAGTGGTTTATAAAAGGTTTTATTCAAATTTAAAACTTTAAATTCTTGAGATTTCTCCAAATTCATTCAGGAAAGATATTCTCCTTGCTGTAAGGAGAAGAAAAAAAGCAAACAAACAAAAAAGCCACCCAAACCATACATACACAGCATATTTTTTTCAGTTTTTTAGGTAGTGTTCCATTCTCTACATATTTCTTCATGTGTTGAAAGTGCAAAATATAAATTTGGCTTCCATGCTTCAACTCAGATGAAACTGTTTAGTAAATAATGACTTGCAAGGGTCATGACTTCCAATAGTGAGAGCCCAGAGATGCTGTGGCTTACACTATCCCTAACTGTGCATATTCTTAAAATGTGACTGGAATTAAGGACTGCTGCTTCTTCATATACTTGTGTTTTTCAAAAAGAAAACAGGGGAGTACTAATACGCTATTATTAATTTTCAGTTCTTAAAGGTGATAAGAGATGAAAGAAGGGTTACTGTAAGATAAATGGAAGAAATAATCTAGGTTGGTTATAATAATAGTGGTATTAAAACCTGCTGGTTGTCTTTAAATTTGATTAAATAATTGGAGATGCTTGCAGTCCTCTTGTGAAAGGAGACTCTGAGAAATAAAATTCTGACCATGTAATTTTAATGACTTCTGTGGATATGACTTATCAGATTACTTGTGGTAGTCTAAAATCCAACTGGAACTACAAATTTCTTGTCTGCCACAAATAAATTAGTGCCATTTAAGTTCCAATTATGCAGCTTACAACCAGGTTAATCTTAATTGATGATATGCTTTCAGTGTGTTTGCATATGCCTGTCCAATAATCAAAACCTTTCTAGATGCTGGTGTTTAAAGTTTTCTGGAGTGTGGGGTTCATGGAAGAAAAAAGTGTTGCTCAGAATTGTTTTTGTTTGAAAGAGACAGAAACCTCCACCGTGCTGCATAATGCCTGTGCATAAAGGGACAGA